CAACCGCACATTTGTCAAGGAAACAATTGTTTAAACTCACCTGCTGGTCAGGCAAATAAATTGGAAAATGGGGAAGTGGAAAACAAAGTAATGAGTATGGCAAAACAACAGCATGATTTAGAAGGACACTTATGTGAGAAGCATTACCCTTAACAATAGTCTTTAGAAGCACTACATGCTTGTTGTATATTCTCTCTGTTGAAAGAAACTATTTTGTCAATGATGTACTAAATATATACATTCTATTCACAGATAATTGAAAACTGTTGTCTTGATTAGTCAAATCTTAAATGCAGACATAGAGAACTGTTAGCCCTAGGATGAAATGGACATACTGCATTTTTCTTCTGATGAAATTAACTCACACCTGTCCATTTTATGAACAATCACTGAAAACATGTTACAGTGTGATACAGCCTGAGGAAGACACCTGACTGAGTTTGCTGAACTCCTTCCAATCTCATGCTTAATTAAAATCTATTTTTGGTGTGTGAAAGGGTTAAACTCATCAAATTTAATTCTGATTTGTTACTTTCTTCTTAATAAACATTGAATTATATTTTTGCTGTATTTTATTATAAATATATATATTATCCATTGGACAAAATAATTTCAGTCCAAATAACTATAAATGCATTTGTGTTCCAGATGATGGACAACAAGTATTAATCTCTCCATTGAGAAGAAAGTACAACTGGGTTATTTTCAAAGTTCTTTATTTTGCAATTATATCTGCAAGTCATAGCATTCATTCAAGAAGAACATTATATTTATCACTATACATTTTGCAAAACACCAGCTTTGTAATAGAATTGAAGTTTTAAAACATATTGAAAAGGTAATTAGATCTGGTTGCAGAAAAAGTATTTGTGTGTTCTGAATACACTTTTTCTGCATGCCCATATGTTTCCCACCATCCTTCTGTTTCAACATTCAAAAGGGAAAACTGAAGCACCTAACCTTTTTTTACCTTAAAGTGATTCTCTGTTTTTTTCCTTTGCATTTAAGAGATTTGGAAAAAAATGTGAAATACAAAAGGAAATGATAGAGTATTATTGGGGGAGTGCATTTATTCAACTGGTTGTCAGATAGATGCATACACTCTCTCCAAGTCTAAGGGCAATGAAATGGGCTGGGTTACCATATGGCAAGGCATAAAATCTCATACAGGGAACTGTGGGAACACTGGAGTCTTGACAGTATCTGCAATAACCTTTCTGCGTTCAATGAAAGTCAATCACAAATCATAACTTCATACATTGTGATCTCTCAAATACAGAAAACCCTAAGTAAAGACTGAAGAATAGCTTTCAGTAAAAGAGCATCTTAATCTGAATAAGTCAAGATAATTAAACTCTCATCTACAAAAATCAGATTTTTCCCCCCCCCTCACTGCTGTTTTTGTTACAGCTATCATACTCCTAGCCTCTCAATACCTCACCAGATTACAAAACCACTATAACTAAAAGTCTGACTGGAATCACCATAATTGTGCATTTTGAAAAGCTGTTTATCTCTTCAAATGTCCTGTGATTTTACTTTTCACAACATGTAACTGCCACAAAATTGGAGGGTTTGGGAAATATGGGATTCTTCTCTTTCTAGTTACTGACTGTAGAGCAGCCACATAAAAACCAGGAAAAGTAAAAAAGTTAAATATTTTTGTTCCCTGAAAACGTTTTCATCCTTTCAATTAAATCTTCAAGATAATATGCACTCTTAATATTTTTATTATGTTACCAGTATTGATATGAATCATTGTCACCTAAAAGGTAGAGGGAAAACTCCTCCTCATCAAATAGTCCATATGTGGACTTTTTTTAACCTTTTTGAATCTAGTTTTAGATCTAACCATGAAATATTATTTCCTGCTGGTGAATGACTTGAGATATGTCTACACGACTATACAGTTGACCTTTTGATGTGCTCCTCCTAACACAGAAACATTGAGTGCAACCTTGACACATTAGTATGCAATTTAACATTTTGGTTTCTGTGGCATCAAAGCCAATTTAAGAGGTTCTCATATGCTACTATACTCAGCTGCTGGTGGCTGCCCTCATTCTATTCCCTTCATTGTGTAATGACACTTGCAGGTGATAGTGTTAGTGAATGAAGCATGTATAAGTCATTCATTTTTAAAATTCAAATCATTCCTGTCATAGGCTCAGCCTCAGTAACAGTTGCATTAACACAAACTGAGAAATGTCAGAGTACAATATGTGAATGGGAATAGGAGCTTGGGAAGAGGATCAAGTTTTACACTTGCTTTTACTCTGGAGAATATCTAACATTAAATGACATTCCTCAGGCATTAAGCCAATTCAAATAGCAACACTTGAGACCAGTTAAGAGCTGGGAACTAAAAGCTGTAAACCAGCATTTCATTAAATTGTTTCTAGGTTATAACTAACTACGTAAGTGCAGCTCTCTAACCTGCCTCTCACCTACATGATTCCAGATTGGATCCCTGATCTACTTACTTCATATCAGTACTATAAAAAAGCCAAGCTGAGTGCTACTGTGTTACCTTCCACAATGCCCCTGACTGCACAGAAGCCCAGGACTCCCTCACGCTGCTACTGTGTCTGAAACACGAATGCTCAGGACGGCTCACATTGTTTTATTATGATTGCACTGGCACATTTTGGAAACTGTTTAGAATGAACCTTTTAGATCATTAACTGCCTTGGACACAACTAGCATTGTTGGCATTGCTGATACATAGGTATATGAGTCCAGGTCTTACATAATCAGCTTCCACATGATAACCCGTTCTCTCAGAGGTCTTGCAATGTGGTTTTAGTTAAATGTTCTTCAGCTCTGAGAATTCCCCTAACATGTACTCTGCAGGATGCAGTCCCTTTTGTCACCTTACTTTAAGGGACACTGTTTAAAAGAAGTGATCTAACAGAAGCCGGGGGAAAGAGGTAGGG